CCACAGATAAACACTAAACATGTCCAAGAAGAAAAAGCAGATGACCATATCAGCACATGTCCAGAAACAAGATAAAATGTCGGAGACAAATGATCTAGAGGTAGACCTGGACTCCATTCTGGAAGGAGGGCAGGCCTTGGAAATGCCTGAGAAGGAATTCAGAAAAATGATTATAAAATGTTTCAAAACACTTTAAGGTAAAAATCAGTTAGAACTGTACCTGGCCTGTAGTCGTCATTGTATTATTACATCAGCTATTAGTATTATTAGGAGCTTTGGTGGTGCAGTGGGTCAAGCGTTGGGCTGCTAACGGCAAGGCTGGAATGATTCACACTCATCAGCCACTCCATGAGAATCCGGCTGCTTCTCAGATTTACACTCTTGGAAACTATGGAGCAGTTCCTGTAGGGTCACGTTGAGTCGGAATCAACTAGGTGGCAATGGACATACTAATACTGTTATCCTTTACCTAGTCAGTAGTTTTACGCTGGTTGAATTAATGAATGGGTATCAGGAGAGAAGAATGATGGGATAGATACACTGAGTGCCTTGATAATGGACTTATATGCCAGTTATTAGGGATGAAACAGTCTTCTGTGAAATGCTAACGATCTTTCTTCAGGATAGGAAGAACATAGGAATAGGTGGGGCATGAATGGGAAAGGACTCAATTGCTAGGCTAGGCTCTTTCACTTGACGCAGTTGTCCTTAGGATCACCCAGTTGCTATCTCACCTGTGACAGGAAGGTGGTGGGGGTTAGTGGGGTGGGTGACACAGATGTTACTTCTGTGCTCTGGACTCCCAGCTGGAACCTACTTAAAGGCATTTGCTCTCCTGATGCTCCATGGGCCTGGGAGCGCCTCTGCATAGACCAATACTGTCCAGTAGACGTACCACCAGAGCCATACAAGCCATTAAAAAAAATGAACCATACTAAAAGGTTGAAAACAATGAAATTAATCTTAAACAGTATATTTTATATATGTTGTTACTAAGTCGGTTCCAACTAATAGTGACCTTGTATGTTGTTGTTAAGTGCTGTCGAGTCGGTTCCGATCCATAGTGACCCTGTACAGGGTTTCTGAGGCTGCAAATCTTTACAGGAACAGAAAGGCCTCATTGTTCTCCTGCGGAGTGGCTGGCGGTTTCGAACTGCTGACCTTAAGGTTCGCAGCCCGATTCGTAACCACTACGCTACCAGAGCTCCTTCAGTGACCTTGTATAGGGGTTCCAAAAAGTGACTGGTAGGTTTGAACCATCAACTTTGTGTTTAGAAGTCCACTGCTTATGCTACAGAGCCACATCAGGACTCCAAATTTTGTATATATATCCAAATTATTATTATTTCACCATGTAATCAGTTTAAAACGTTATTGAGTTTTAAAAATTATTATTATTAACTTATAAATCTGATGTTTATTTTATACTTAGAGCACATCTGATTTGATGTAGCCACATTTCAGGTGCTCAGTAGTCACATGTGGCTAGTGGTATGCAATTAGAAGTATAGGTTTAGGCCGTTTTTTAAGTTGCTTGAATCATTATGAACTCTTGTCAATTCCAAAGAAATAAAAGACACCATTGTTCATTTTTGTGAATATAGTCAAAGGAAAAATCATCAGTGCAAGTATTGCTACAAGGATTCCACTTCATACCTGCATGAGTTTATTCCAGACAAAATGTATTTAATAAACATGTCTCTGATCGGTGGCTACAGACAAGTGCCTCAGTAATACACTTGTTTGAGTCTCCTTAGAGTGGCTTCAAAAGAAGCTTCAATCAAAGCAGTGGTTTCTGAGGGGTCTGTGCACCAGTTAATTCAGGGCAGAGAGATCAGCTGAGAAGGTTATAGGCCACTGTTTTCTGGGTTCCAGTGGTGAACTCTTGATAGATGTTCTCAAAGGACACAGGAGGGTCACGGGCTTGTTAAGAGATTTAAGAAAATTGAAAACTGCTTTAGTGAGAAAATGGCCAAGAAAGTTGTGCTGATAAATTTCTTTCCATTATGACAATGTACCTGTTCACTTTTGAGGGTAGCAACCACTGTCTATGAGAATTTCATTGGGAAACCTGACTCCATTCACCCTACAACCCTCATTTTTCTCCTTCAGACTTCTTTTTGTTCCCCCAAATCAAAGAACATTTACAAGAAACAGGATTTGAGTCCCTCGAGGGTGCCAAAACTGTCATTTTGGTGTGGTGTGATTAAAAGACTAAGAATTCACTGGGGAAGGGTTGGAGAGCTGGAAGCATTGCCTTCTGAAGTGGATAGACTTAGATGGAGGAGATGTTGAGAAACAGCTGTTTCACATTTTTGTATTTTTGTTAATTAAAGGTTTTTGTTATTGTTATTACCATCACATAACAAACTGATTGCTATTTATTTTTTCCTGATAATAGTTTACCAGATTTAACACAACTGATACTTATGTTACTGCATTAAGGAAGAATTATCATCAAAATTGGAAAATTACCTTTCCTTAAGGGATTTAATAATTTTATTTACTTTGTTTAAAAAAGTGAAAACAACAACAAAAGCCTGGTTTCTCAAGCCATACAGGAAAATAATGTTTAGTTCTTGAAAAACTTGACTTCAGTTCATTTTATAATAGCCGAGATTTCTGTGATTGTGGTTAGAATTAGATGGTAGAAATTTTTAAATATGAGACTTGTCAAAGTGTTGTCAACAACTCATGTAAGAATTAGCATTGTCATGAGATTCCGTCATATTGCTTGCATACAAGTTAATTTGTTTGAGTTGTGACCAATTCGTAAAGTAACTGCAGTTCTCTTTTGAGTAGACTGGAAGCAAAGGAAGCTGAAGAAAAGTAATGTCGTCTCCTTAAAGGCATATAAAGGACTGGCAGAGGTGGCTGTGAAGGGCTTGTGTGAGCTCTTGGTGGCACTGCCTCATTTCAACTTTCACAACAACATCATTGTGTTGATTGTCCCTCTTATGAATGACATGTCAAAATCGGTGGGTTGCTCTCTGTGATTGTTGCTTTGGTTCCTAATAGAACAATAATAGACCATGCAGGGTTTGTTTTTTTTCTCTTAAAGTTCTTTTGGTCTGTTATTTATGAGTAAAATAGACTACTGTTAAACTCTTATGTCTTTAAGAAAGTTACTAGAAAGTACATTTAATGCAATATTTCTCAACAGAAATTTTGGCCCCCTCTTTATTCCCAGGGAACATTAAATAATATCTGGAGGCTTTAAAAAAAAAAAAAAGGATTTAACTGTGTGTTCTTCTTGTTGAGAATGTAGACAGCAGCACATATACCACTCCAGTGGTTTGTGAATGTACAATGGAGTGACATCTCAGGATATATGTTTGATTGCAATGTTTGATGGGAGGGTGCTACTGGCAGCCAGTGTATAAAGGTTGGGAATGTTGTAAAATATCCTGCAATGAACAGGACAGTCCCCACAGCAAAGAATTATCTGGCCTTAAGTAAGGCCTGAGACTGAGAAACACTTGTTTAGTTTAGTGTAACATCTTTTCTTTCAGGTTTCTGATATGTGTTGTGAGGCAGTGAAGAAGCTCTTTAAACAGGATAAGTTAGGCCAGGCTTCCCTTGGTGTAATAAAAGTCATTTCTGGTTTTGTGAAAGGAAGAAATTATGAAGTTAGGCCAGAGGTAAGTCTTTTTTTTTTTTTTTAAACTTTTCTATCTGTTTTGTCTATCCACTTAGATAGGCATATAGATAGTTTTTGATATGGATAGATAGTTATTCCAATATTAGTTTCTTCTCTCTGCCAATTTAAAATGCTGTCTTTTTTATGTAATAACTTTCTATATACGTAGAATTTTGTTTTGAAGTCTTCTCTGTTCTTTTGATTTGGTTGTTGTTAAGTGCCGTTGAGTTGGTTCTGGCTCATGGTGACATTGGATAAGACTTCCAAGGAGCAGCTGGTAGGTTTGAACCACTAACATTGTGGTTAGCAGTCCAGTGCTGATACTATAGCACCACACCAGGACTCCTAGATTTGGTTGTTGTTGTTGTTTAGTGCCGTCGAGTCGGTTCCGACCCATAGCGACCCTGTACAGGGTTTCCGAGGCTGTAAATCTTTACGGGAGCAGAACGCCTCATCTTTCTCCCGCGGAGCGGCTGGTAGTTTCGAACTGTTGGCCTTAAGGTTCGCAGCCCGATTCGTAACCACTACGCTACCAGAGCTCCTTCTAGATTTGGTTAGGTCCTATAAATACTTCAAGGGAGTTTCAAAAGTTAAGTTGAAAAATTCCATATAGTTCCATTTCCCCATAAACCTTTTGAAGCCCCACCTGTATAGTATTTTAACTATTTAATAGCTTTGTATATAAAATACATTTGGATGTATGATAGGATGTTACTTATCAGAAGCAAAACACAATGAAAGAATTGTTTGTTAACTCAGATAAAATGTAGAATCTGTTTCTACCACTATCCCTCCCACCAAAAGATTGTAAGGAGTGGTGGTATGGTGCTGTCGATAAGCGCTGGGCTGAAAACCACAAGGTCGGTGGTTCAAACCCACCAGCTGCTTTGGAAATGCTATATAAGGTCATTATAAGTTGGAACTGACTCGATAGCACTTAACAATAACAACAACAACTGAGAATTGTGTAGTGATCAGATATTAAGACTTGAATATGAAACTCAGTCATGGGGTAACTCATTTTAAGATCAGCCCCGCCATCCTGACTTTGAAGTTACTTTTGTGTATGATATTTTAAGAGCACATAGGAAATGTTCAGTTTATCTTTCAGATACCTAGAATAGTGCCGGTCTTCATGTTTTTATTAAGAAAAGTCCCTGAAGATTAGCACTGTTAACTGTAAGACTGAAGTTGGCTTGTCAAATTAAGAGCTGGTTTGTTGTTGTTAAGTGCTGCTGAATCATTTACAACTCAATAGTGCCCCTGTATAGGGTTTCTGAGAAGTGATTGGTGAGTTTGAAACACTGACCGGACTGCTAGCAATCCAGTGCCCTCTATACCAAGTAATGTGTTTCATCTTTATGCTCAAGAGACTGAGCATAAACAATGCTTTATATGGTATATATATTTTTGCCTAGCCAAATATTAGTGTCCTTTCATAGATCAGATTATTAAATATGTTTAACAAGAAGATAACCAATTCTTCTGGAAAATGTGATAAGACGTATTTCTACGATTTTAGTAGAAATAAAGGAAATAGTATGGTAAATGCTCATTTTCCTGGAGAAAGTGTTGGAGGACAATGTAAATATTCAGCTGTGTATTTGTATTTTCTTTTTCCATATAAGATCTTAAAAACATTCTTGTGTCTGAGAATCAAGGAAGTAGAAGTGAAAAAAGACACTGAGGACATTAATAAACCAAAAAAGTTCATGACCTTCAAGGAAAAAAGAAAAACACTGTCAAGAATGCAGAGAAAGGTTTGATTTATTTCCTTCTTAAAGTATTCTCTTTGTTTGATTTGATCTTAGATTAAAATCATAGCCTAAGTATCCCCAGTTGGTTCCGACTCATAGCGAACCTGTATAGGGTCTCCAAGGAGCAGCTGGTGAGTTTGAACTACTGACTTTGTGGTTCAGACCGACCTTGAAGTCCAGTGCTTTATCCCACAGCACCACATCAGGACTCCAAAAAAATCATAGCATAGGCCAGGTTAAAATCAAAGTTAAATCATAAATATAAAATGTGTATCTTGCAGAGGAAAAGAAAGACTTGGCAGCTCCCGAACGACAAATGTAATGAGGGAGAAAAAATCTCTGTTCCTTCTCAGGTGCCACAGGCAGGTGACAGACCCTACGGTGGAGGCCATGCCGCCTGATACACAGCGCAGAGTAGAACTAACTGCTTCTCAGGGTGTGTGAGACATGAATGAAAGCTTTAGCGGCGCAGGCAGTCTCACTTTCTGTAAGAGGGCTGGTGCGCTTAACTCATGTTGCCACCAGGGCTCCTTTCAGGCAGCTTGGCATAAGTAGAAAATACTGATTTTTTAGAATGTTTGACTTTATGCATTTATATAAAGGTGAGTGGGAAACATTTTTCATGATTGACTTCAATATTCTAGGTGATTTCACAATAAGAATTATTTTGCAGTTCAGTGTGTTATTTCTTCCACTTTCCCCTCCCCACTTTTGGGGCAAATTTTAATTTAAATTACAGAAAAAAACTACAGAAAATTAGATGTACTCACTATTCAGAATAAACAGATATCAATAAGTTTAGGATTTTTTGTTTGAAAGAAACCGTTAGAGATAATCTTGGAATGTTCTTTGTTCTTTTTCCCAAGATTATTTTTCTGCCTTCCTCCCAGGAGGCAGCTACCATCAGAAATTTGGTTTGTATAAATACTTCTCATCCATGTTTTTCTCTCTTTGCTTGTATTCATATTCACAAACAGTAGGTACATAGTCTTTCTGAAGCTTGCTAATTTCATTCATATGCCCATACATTCGTTATCTTTTTTTTTCCTTCCAATCTTTTCAGTGGAAGAAAGCCGAAGAGAAACTTGAGCGAGAGCTTCGAGAGGCTGAAGCTTCAGAGAGTACTGAGAGAAAACTTAAATTGGTAGGTAGTTTCACATTCTCTTCTGTTTTTGTTAAATGATTTTAACTGGAGAGTTAGTGTTTCAATTTGTGGCCATATAATTTGTGTTTATGTCATGAAGTTTAGGTAGGAGGGAGCTTCATCTACTTTGATGTGCAAAAAATTATGATGTGATCAGTACTAGTTTTATGAAATAGATATTTTGTTAAAGCTTCAAAGATTGAGTTGCAGGGAGGTGTGGGCAGAGACCAAGCAAGTTGACTTTGGAAGGTCATAGTTATGCTAAGCCATGAGAAAGTAGACCAGGCTCTATTGAAATCATTTTGTTCTGATTCTCCTGCCAGCATACAGAGACTCTGAATATTGTGTTTGTAACCTACTTCAGAATATTGAAGAAGGCCCAGAGGTCACCCCTCCTGCCAGCAGTTCTGGAAGGACTTGCCAAGTAAGAGCTGCGTAGGTTGAAACCTTTTAGATTCTTTCTAAATGGATAAGTAGCCTTGGATTTTACATACTATTTATTATACACTGAAGACCCAGTGTTCTTAGCTCTCATTCCTTTTGAAAGTGTTTAAGCTTTTCTCATTTTAAACTTTTTTTTTTTAAATCTTCGTGAATTCTTCCTTCCTTTTTTAACTAAGTTTTAGGTGCTTTGATGGTTGATCTGTCCCGTCTTGGTTGTTTTTACCCTATCACCATTTGAGGGGTTCATGCAGACGGCTGCTAAGCCTGTTGTAGCCTTGCTTGCACATCATTTCTCTGTTCCTGTTAAATCTGTGCTGCCGAGATTGTTGTTCTGTTCTGTAACACTAATGAGATTGCGGGGAAACGGACTGGGGCACTACTGCCTGTCGTGGTAGCTTTCTCCAAGTGTTTCAAGAGATATCAATTCCAAATATAATGGGAACCATATATATAATCTAAAAGCTCTGCAGGTTAATGTGCTTGACTGCAAGATTGGTTTGAAGGCAAGGTTGGCGGTTCAAGCTCACCAGTTGTTCCTTGGAAACTCTATACAACGTTGCTGTTAGTTGGAACCGACTCTACAGCACTTCAACAATAGCATCAACATTATCCACATTACAAAAGTAGAAAGGAATGAGTGGATTTCTTTTTAATATATTTTATTAAACTTACCATTTAAAATATTTTGACATACTATTGCTAGCCTAGATCCAGAGGGAGTGGAGCAAAGTAGAATCTCCACTGAGTAGTATCAAATCCATCTGGGCAGGGCTGATGAAAGGAGATGTGCATAGGTCTCTTGTGGTACAATAGTGAATAATTGTTATCAGGACTGACTGAGGTCTGGGGGAGGTCTCTGTCCATGTTAACATGTAGATTTCCTAGATTGCTAGGTTTCTAGGTATATTAGACTGTACTTGGCCAATCCTCTAAGCTGCACTGAAAATGCATGTATGTATGTCTGCATGTCCATGTGTAAATTTATTGGCAAGTCAAAGATACATTTATTTTAAATTTTTATAAATATTGCCAAATTACTTCTCCGAAGATCTGCAACCCTTACACAGGGAATACATCACTTCAAAGATTCTTTCATATTCTCAGATTTACATACTCTTAAAGACATCCTAACTTTTAGTGCTTTATAGTTCAGAGTCATCTCACACCTGCTATTGCTTATGGTTCTCTTCAAACCTTCTATGTGCTTCAGTTAATTTTAGAAAGACTGACCCAGGACAGTCCCATGACTTACCCGGGATTACATAGGTAAATCATAGCAGAGCTGTCACAGGGTCCAAATTCAGATGAATACAATATTTCTTCTGTTCCCGCTTTCCACCACATATTCCTAGAAGCTCCTTTTTGATTTAGAGCAGTGTGAGATGCCTAACATAAAACCTCTCCTCAGGGTATATTATTTGCTTCTAGAAACGTCTTAGTGAGGGCAGAAGTATTTATGAATATATTTTTCATCTGTTTGGTACCTCATATTTCTACTGAGTTATGTTCGGCCTTGGATAAATTGTCATAAAGGGCAATCTGCAGTAGTCAAAAGAACCAGTAATAGTTACTCTGTCATGTCTAACAGTTTGAACTCAGGAAAATTAACAATTCCATTTTAAGTAGACTAGATGGTGCTCAGCTACCACCACCAACTGCTATGAAAAGCGATCACTATTAAAGGGCCAAGTAGAAGGGGAGAGAAATAGGGAACAAAACTCAAAATCATGAAAAAGATCAGGTTACTGGTTGGATGGAGATTGGAACAAAACTCCGTGGCTAAATGATTATCCAAACGATAGATCTATAAGGGATATAGATAGAGATCATCTGTAAATTTATAGCTACTTCATAATAAAATGAAGTTTTAAAGTCAAGTGTAATATTTTGCTGCCTTGTTTCTGAATCAAGGTTACTGATTTAATGAAGTTTTGTTTGATTCTAGGTTTGCTCACCTTATAAATGTGGAGTTTTTTGATGACTTATTAGTAGTTCTACATACTCTCATTGAGTCTGGTGTAAGTAATTCTGTTAATGAATTTTTTTTTAAGATATAAGTGATAATTGTTGTTCTCAACATCCTTTCCTTTTTTTGTCTCCTAAGGACCTAAGCTACAGAGAAAGTCTTCACTGTGTACAAACTGCTTTTCATATTCTTTCCGGCCAGGGTAAGATGTTTTCTTGATCAAGTTATATTTGCTTTAGCTTTGGAGGAAGTAGGATACCTAATAGATGTTTGTTGTCATTTCAAAGGTGATGTTCTCAATATTGATCCCATGAAATTTTATACACATCTCTACAAGACACTGTTCAAGTTACATGCAGGTATGTTTTTCAGGTAATGTGTCCTTAATAAACATTTATTTTTTTAATGATAATGATTGTTGCACAGCATAGTAGCTATATTGAATGCCACCAAATCATATACTCAAAAATGGTTAGAATGGCAGCGTTTTAATGTATTTTCCTACAGTTTACAAAAAAAAAAGAAATAATAATCTTTGACAACTGCGTTGTACCCAGAATTATAGTAAACCAAAAATGAGAAGTCAGAACTGGTCCATAAAGTGCTGGCCTGCCAGTACCACACACACTTCTATATTTGACCCGATGTAAAAGTTGGGAAGGACTTTTGGGATTGGGATGCAGTGTTATTTCCTTAGACAGTACAGTGCTGTCTCAGTGGTTAAGGAGTGGTGTGTCTTGGGTCCTTCTGGAACTAGGTGAAGTTACATAGTGAACAAACAACAGGAGAAGCATCTGATGGCTGCACGTGCTCTTCTAGGTGCTACCAACAGCGGCGTTGAGATTGTGCTCCAGTGTCTGGATGTTATGCTCACTAAGCGCAGAAAGCAGGTTTCTCAACAGCGAGCCCTTGCCTTCATCAAGCGCCTGTCTACTCTGGCTCTTCACGTTCTTCCAAATGCAAGCATTGGTATTTTAGCAACTCAAAGAATATTAATGCATGTAAGTAATGATACAAATGAACAGAACTAGGTTCTTGTAGTACAGAGAAGTTTTTGTTTGATGCGTTTTTTTTTAAACCTATTTAAATTATTCTTCTAAGAACTAAAGTAGCTGCGTAGTACCTGAAGTCTTTGAAGCTTGCCCTCGGTCATCCAAGGTACCACAGTTGGTCTGGATGTGTCTGGAGCAGCTGAGGAAGAATGAGGAATAGGAGGAGAAAATAGGTGTACCCTGTTGCTGCCATAGCCTTTTTGCCATCAGAGCAGACGTGGGTGGTGCCCAGATATTATTACTGAATGTATGGATCAAAGATTCTTCAGAAAAATTCTGACCAAAAGCAGGGGAAGTGCAGCAAATTTTAATTGGATTTCAGACTTCTGGAGCTGTTGAGGCTGGAACTCCCTGAAACTGCTCTGAGATGAGATCATCTTTAAATCTTAAATCAAATATAGCCCCTAAAGTCGTCTTTAAATGGAAACATTAGGTTAGTCTTAGTTAAGAAGAGTTGCTTTGAACATCGTGCCCTTTTGTAGAATTGTTTGTATGGTCTAAGATTAGCATCAACAACTGGAAAGGGCCGATCAGAAGCTTATGGGGACTGATTACTTATTAGTACAGGAGGAACTAAAAGTACCAAACTTATTGACACTCCCAGAGGTAACCGTTTAGTTTACTCGTTGGTGTTCTGTTTTCACTAGCTGTGTTTGTGTTTGTATATAAATATAATGAATACACACAGAAACCACACAACTTTTTTTAATGGAAGAGGGGGATTTCTATACAAGTTTTTTTTTTTCCTTTAAATTATTAACTTACTACTTAAAGGTGGTGGGCACATTTTCAAGTTGGTATAAGCTTGACTATTTTCTCCTCTTTAATGATTCTGTAAAGTTTATTTGATTAACAAACCTTTATACGGTTTTTACTTTGTTCCGGCCATTATTACAAATGTTTTACAAACTTGGTTTTCCTAAGAAATTTGTGAGGTAGCTACTCTTACTGTCCCCAGTTTACAGATGGAGAAACTGAGATCCAGAGAGCCTAAGTAACTTGCCTTAAGTAATGCAAGTGGCAGAAGTGGGATTCAGAGTTAGGCAGCCTGGCTTTGATGCTGCCCCAGTTTTCTTTTTGATGTACAGAGAAGTTGTTGTTATGTTTTCCTATTACGAATGGAATTACAGTGAATGTCCTTATTATGTGTTCTAATGTGTTTTCCTTTGAAAATGAATTATTTTCAAAGCAAGCCAAGATAAAATATTTCTTTTAGTCTTTTGTTTTCTTACAAACGTAAACAGTTTTTGTTAAAAATGTGACAATTTTGCAGACCTTCCCCAAAACAGATCTGTTGCTTGACAATGAATCTCAGGGGAGTGGAGTCTTCCTCCCTGAACTGGATGAACCCGAGTACTGTAATGCTCAGAACACGGCCCTTTGGGAATTGCACGCGCTACGGGTAAGAATGGTGACAGGCTTTCTAATGTTGGGTGTAGTTTTACTGTTATTGGAGTACTTAATACACTTGGAGGCTTCATAGACTACATGGGAAAACTCCATTATCTTCCCATTTCATTCTTCCACAAACTCGTTTTGTGTGTGTTTTTGCTGTTATTGTTGTTAAATGCAGTACTTAACATACGTCCGCAGGGGCTTCAGAACCTGTGGGAAATTTTCATTGTGTTGTAATTCCATGCTTCCACAGACTTTTTGAAGTTGCCTTGTATTTGGTTCTGGAACTTTTTGGAACTTTCTCTCAAAATCCCTATTATAACACGCTACCTTTTACTTTGCTCTTAATGTTCTTTTGAGTGTTGTTATGTTTCCTACGGAAGCAGAATAATGATAGTTTACTGGGGCGAGGCTGTGCAAGATTTATTGAAATATTTCCGTAACATTGTTTACAACAGCAAGATTTGGTATCAGGTATATTTTTATGGGATCTGATCCAAGGACCATTTCAGCTAGGACAAAGTCTGAGGAAGATTAGTAGACCATATAAGCAATCAGGGAACCTGTAAGTCAGTTTTCTCCCTCTGAAAGAGATACTGCTTTTTAATTTTCCTTGTCATACAATGAATACAAGACTAAGCTACATCACTGGTAATTTGGTCATCAAACAGATTTGTGAGCACAGATCAGTTTCTTATTGTATGTATGTGGTTGCTCTGAATGGTGTCCACCCACAGCGTTTTTAAGACTTTGTGTTAAGAGAGTCTTCACTGTGGCTTATGTCTTAGAAAGCACTGCCTGGTACACAATGTGTCATCCTTTTCCCTCTTCAGAGACATTACCATCCCATAGTGAAGAGTTTTGCAGCTAACCTGATCGCAGGCGCACCTTCTGAAGGCTCTGCAGCGCTCAAACCAGAGTTGAGCCGGAGGTAGTAATATGTAGCATTGTCTTATTGTAAAACTACAAACTACAGTTGACAGCAGTCTGTTTTATAAAGTCATTTGCTTTAAAATTTAAAGTGTTAGTTGTGCACTTGGAATTGGTCTCACTTCATATTCCTGAATCGTTCTAAAGGTGAAAATGTGTGTCATATGTCTTTGTTTTTGGTAATTACTTAAAAAAAAAATTTTGTTTTAAATTATGACAAAAATTCACGCATACAGAACAATAGTATAATGAATACCCCCCCATGTACCCACTACTTAGATTCAACAATTTATGAGTTAATGCCATATTTGCTATATGTTTTTTTTTTTAATGTGCTAATCTGCATCCAACCCAAACATCCTCCTTTTGTAGAACAGTCCTGCCAGGGTAAGAGAGCAAGACAAGGGAGATTAGAGGTGCTTTGGGACAGTGACCACTGGGCAGCACCTCAGAAGGGCCTCAGTTTCTCTCTGCCCCTCGCAGCCATTCTGAACAGTTGTCCCCTGGCCACCAGAAAGCTCGGGCAGGTACTTTCATATGTTTTCCCAAATGGGAAAAATAAGTCTTTGTATAAAGGAAATTTCTTTTTCTCCAACTTTTTATTTGGAAAGATTTCAAAGTAATCCTATTTCCCCCACAAAATTAATCAGGAAGTACTTCAGTTACACAGAAGAGACAGTGGTAAGGAGAAGACATTCAGAACAGAATGCATGTCTCTGCCCAGGCCGTGTGAGTGGGCCCTGAGTGATCTGAGACAGCCCCAAGAACTAAATAGTGCTGCCTGCTGTACACCGTCTCTGCAAGCCCACTGTGGGTCAGGAGACTGTTTTCTGGCCTCTTTAGAAGTTGAACAAAAATTGGATTAATTGCTAACTTTTAAAAATTGGAAAAATTGATTTTTATAAAGTGTCATTTTCTGCTTCTCTGGAGATAACTGGGAGATTTGTCTCTCCAGGGTCTTTGTTTCCACTTAGCAGCAGTCTGCCACTGCCCCTGTCATGAGCCATAAACCCTGCGGGTTTCCAGTAGTTTTATTCTGGGTAGGAAAGAGAGAACTTTTTGCCTTGTTATTTAAATAATAAATGGCATTTATCTCTTTCTTTCCATCATACACCTCATCTATCACCCTCCCCACAACCTTGGTTTTTTTAAAAAGAAAATGATTGTTACTTTTCTTTTTCATGATCCTTTCCTGGCATGAGCATGAGAGGCCTGGAATTCCCTTCTGTGGAGGAAGGTTTGGATGAGTGGATTTATCCCAAAAGCTTAAGAGTGGAGCCACTCGATGCTCATGGTGGTTTTCTCCCTGAGAGTGGAGCTTGAGGTGTGAGCCTAACCTTGACCCTTACAACCCTGGCCTGTTTTCCTTTGAAGAACATGAGCTGACCCAAATGACTTTAGGGTTCATTTGCATGTCATGAGTAGAGCCAGGTATTCTGTTTTGAATGTTCTCTCCTAACTCTAATCCAGGCCAGCAGCTGAAGAGTTGAGCTGTGTTCAGAGTCCATAGAGGGTAACTGCTTTGCTCCTTTACCTCCCATGACTTAGTCACATGCTGGTCATATGACTTTGGTTGTGTTGAGGTCAGCCTTCTCTCTGTCTCCTGGCTGGCATTTCTAAATGTACACCACACCTGAAATGCTCTGTGTTAGCATTACATGGGGTTTAGGATTTATTTTAGGTGCACTAGTTGTTTGGTATCAAAAACTGGATATGGTATATGTACCTTAATATGTGTGTTTAGGATAATGAGTCATTCTCTGGGGACAATCTGTAATTATCTCCAAGTCATATAGGTATGGTGGTTCTTTTTTGTGTTTTTGATTATAGAACTGCTACTGAGCTTTTCGAGATGTACAGCATGGCCGCAATGACCTTTAATCCTCCTGTTGAATCTGTGAACTCCAAAAAGAAGGTATATAATACTTTTTATATTTTTTGAAAGAAGAAAAAATTAGTGCCTCTGGAAAACTCCAACCTGCTTAGTTATTTTATAGTTTTTCCCCCTCCTTTAATATCTAGAAGTTGATGGTAAGATGGCTCTCTGGGGTTGGAATTCTTGAGATGTCATGAGATCATTTTATTAACCACAGGACCTGTCTGAGGCCTGGCTGGGTTTCCTGTGTCAGTCAGTGTCCACGGTTGTCACCTTTACCTTTCCCTACTGCGTGGCCTTCTGTTAGGGCACACGTAACTTTTACCTTTCGATATTTTTCTAGGATAAGGTTTTACAAGGCGATTCATTTTTGAATGAAGATTTAAATCACCTAATCAAAAGACATTGCACTCAAGTTGCTACTCATTTTCCTCAAGATTTCACCAAATATTTGGAAACATCGTTACGATAGTGAAAGAATGAAGTATCCATGGATTTATGTGTGTGCATCTGAAGATTCAAAGATAGATTGCTAACATAGGAGTTTTTCAAGGAGTAACGGAAGAGGAAGAGTTACGTACTCCGTGCGGCAGAAGGTCCAGCCCTCATTCTGTAAGTGTCGTTCCATTAAGACAAAAGTGTAAAGCTTTTTCCTCAAAAGTTTTTTGAAATATGCTGCCTTTTAAAACTGTACATAAGTTATGTGTGTGAATATATATATATATTTTATACATTTTTTTTTGGACTGAATCTTGTTGAAATAGAGTTGTTGGGTTAAAATCAGGATACAGGAAAACCAAGACCATGAGAATGCTTTTTACCTTTTGTTGATGTTTAGTACTGTCGAGTTGGTTTGACTCACAGCAACCCTGTATAGGGTTTCTGAGACTGTAAATCTTTGTGAGAGCAGAAAGTCTCATCTTTCTCCAGCTTAGCTACCTTTTATAACTAAATAAACTGTAACACTTTAAATGGAAGTGAGAAACATTTCAAATTTGAGTGAATGTATTTTAAAATAACTTGAGATTAGACACCAGGTTCATTGGTCCTTACTGGGTGAGACCTAAGACTTGCAGAGACAATTTGGGTGTGGTTCTAGTCTCTGAAGTTCTTTGCATTTCCTGATGCTCTGGAGAGGTGGGGATGGGGAAGACTTGCTCCTGGATGGAAAACAAAGTCTGTGACTGTTACAGTTTGTTTTAGGGACAAAAGGTGAAGGAGCTTTTTGGTAGGTAAAATGCTTTACTGTTCTGACTGTAATTGCAGACTATCCCTTATGTAACAGCTCTCCCTGGATTCTAGGAACAGCCTACTGTGAGCCTTGTGGTGGCTGGTCCAAATTACCCTCAACTATGAACACCTGAATCAAACCACTATTTTCCCAGCTTCCCATTTTGGGAATGTGAAAATTGAAAACTACAACACACAACAGTACAATAATCCAACCGTATAGTCTTTCTTGTTAGGTGGTGTCAGGTCGGTTCCGACTCATACAGACCCTGTAAAGGGAGCTGCTGGTTGAGTGTGAACTGCCGAACTTGTAGGGCAAACTGACCTTGCGGTCCAGTGCATTATCCTGCAGCGCCACACCAGGACTCCTAGTAGTCTTCTGACTGCTTCAGGAACTATTGATGGTCAGTGATTTTGGTTTGGAGGTTAGAGCTCTTTTGTTTTCTCCTCATGAAGTAAATGAAAACAGAAAGTTCCTTTTCTCCTCATGAAGTAAATGAAAACAGAAAGTTCCTTTTACCATTCCAGTAAAGTTGGGGAAAGTTAGGGGTATCAGCTTTGAAGTGCATGCTAAACTTTTAGCATATATTTGATTTTAAAGTGTTTCTGGGGTCACATTTTTAAAATCGTGATTATTTGTCTAATGAAAATGTTATTGCTATTAAGTATATTGCTATTAAGCCACCTTTCAGATACACAGTAGATAGAGTCCAGGAGAGTTGTAAATTGTGTCGATGACCCAAGGGTCTGACCCCATCACAGCACAAGTGGCCAATACATTCACAAATCATTTATTTTCTAAACATATACAAATACATTTACACATCAATTTGGCAGCAGAAACTACAGTTCAGGTGAAAAATTAGCTTTAAAATGGAATTGCACCCATAGACTTGTATTATGCTTTTAACTTTCTTGCTATGTATACAGAGGATCACAGTAGGGCCATAAAATGATATATCTAGTATTAGTTTGAATGTTCCATATGAATCTCAGGATGAAATATCACCCGACATGTTTTATTTTCAGAAATAAATCATGTAATCATGAATGATAACAGACACACATACCTTGAGACTAGTTGGCTAGAGTCTTTGCTTTTAACTAAACAAGTACTGAGCAAATACTAGGTGCTTAGCACTGTGCTCGGCATTTGAAAGTGGCGTAGGGATAATAATGGATGTAAGACCGTCTTCTGTGTTCTTTTTCATGCTGACTCAAATCATTCACACAGCACTTTCAAAGTGTAAGCTCAGTGTAAGAATTTATTGTTTCAGAGTTCAGGGACCTGTGTCATCTGGAGTAGGAAGTGTTTCAGAGACCAACTTGGTGCTGGTTTAACCGTTAATGATTTGGGATCTAAGAGATGGATGAAACTAGTTTGGTAAGCATAGCAATTAAGGAGTTATGTCCCAATTTTTATCCATCATCCAAGGTTTGTAGGAAGTTAATGGAGATAAAGCAGAGAGCACAGTAATGCTCTGTATCATGGAAATGTTGACCCAAATAGGGACCTAAGACAACCGGGAAAAAATCCTCTTTATTGACATGGGAACATAGTGTGGAATTCTGTTAAACTTTAACTCAGTTTCACCAAACTAGTGAGCAAGTCCTCTAAGGATGAAGCAAGGCTTTAAGTGTCTTGGTAGAATAGAAGCGGTCTACAGAGTCCTGGTTTGAAGCTGTAGGATAAGCATTGGACTACTCAACAACAATATTGGCAGGAGAGACAACAGAATGAGGGGGGAAGATGGTTAATGTAGGATAGACTCGCTGTCATTAATAAGCTTGCATTGTCTCCAGAGCCACGGAGATGGGAGGCCTTTGATTGAACGCAATCTAGACTAACACTAGGCATTTGTAACTTTTGTTGGCTCTTGATAACATACTTATTGTCAACTGGAGGATTTAGAACTAACTCAGTTTCTTTCTAAGGAGAATGTGAAAAGAGGCATAACCTCAAGAAACACTCTTCGCCCAGATAGTATCATTACATGGTAAGATTGATCTGAGTTAAATTTTCTAACATACTTGTGTAATCTTGCAAAAAACCAATTCCAGTATCACATACCACATTAAAGTCTTACATTAATGCATTCTTGTAGCTACTTTCGAAAGTTGGCACCACTTAGCCGAGTGATAGAATGAATGCATATCCCATTTTTGTTTTTAGTTGTTAAGTGCTGTTGATTCAGTTCCGACTCATAGTGACCCTGTATAGGTTTCCAAGGAGCAGCCGATAGATTTGAACTGATGACCTGGTAGTTCAAACCAACCTAGCAGTCTAGTGCTTATCCTGGAACGCCACACCAGGACTCTAATCTTGTAGTAAATCCAGTTTGCAGATTTACCAGTAAGAGTTAACTACTCAAATTTCTAGTGTGAGAAGTATGGAATGGTTGGGGTATAGTCCTGGTGGCCATTTTAGATGTAAAATCTACATGGTTTTGGCAAACACAGGTTGTGTGGGTTGTTTGTAATGTGTGGTAGAACCCTAAACATTTTTGAGCAGTGTGTCCTTCCTAAAATCCCCTATGACTTAAGTGTATTTTTTCACCTAGAATGTGATGAATAATCAAGTTGGGTTACCACATAGGTAATAAGCTGTGTTAAGTTCACTCACCTGCTAAACTACGTTGTCTCCAGGTAAGTGTCAGTCAATGTCAAATCCACAGCCATAGGGATGAGGGAGTTTGGTTTGTGCAGTTGTCTGGAGAGACCAGTCTTGATTTTCATCTCGTGACTTTGAGGTTTTTCATTTTGGCTTTAGCCAGTTAGACCTATAACTTCACTTTAGGTAAGCCAAACCAGAGAAAGATATACCTACTAGTCTACAGACACTTTGACAGTGTTTTCAGAATTTTTTTGAATGGAGTGACAGGCTGTACAAACTATCACATTTTAGTAGCCAGTGACTCTCGCATTGAGGCTTGGACTCAGTATCAAGCGCTTTCAATGACACGAGAGCTGTGTGGTAGATTTTTACCACTGCAGTTTTTAGATCATTAGAGACCATTAGGACTGATTTGTTCACGTTTACAACCAAAAAACTAAAAGTGAAGATCGGGATTTTTAGTGTTTTGTAATTTGAAGAAAAATGTCTTAAATTTTAATATCAATGGGAAGATAAAACATTCTATTTTTAAAAGCCATGATTTTTTAAAAGCCATGATTTACTTGATGGCAAAAAGTAAGAACAATCCTTCAGATTTATTGGATAGTTTAATACTGTAAGATTTGAAAAATAATTTACATCAAATTGCAAATACAATTTGGATCAACAACTTCAATTAATCAGAAATGAAAGTGAAGGTTTTATGTTTTACATAAAATTCTGGCCCATTTCAAATTCAGAGCACATATTTTCTTTATAGAAAATCTGTCTTCAAATAGTGACATAGAATCACTAATGCTTCTAATTCATACGAGATAACCACGGCTATGTATAATAAATACTTAAGTACAGTGTCAGCACAAACCTTGTTTAAATAAATAAATTTAAACACACATCTACTTTGGCTTTTTAAAAAATGGTTAAGTTCCTTGTTAAGACATTACAACTCAGTAGACACTAAATTGTACATCATTCTAAATTCATTTTGTGAAAACCGAAAATGGAATAATCTGTGAATATATGTACGCAATGAACTTTTTAAAAAACATCATTCTACACTTAAAATGTCAGCGTGCACTATGATACACAATATAGAAACGATTTCATTGTAATGAGTCTAAGGCTATAGGATATATTTACATCTGCAATGCCCCAGATCTCTCCGTTATCAGCCACAGAATGAGTGGCCAAAAGCTTCTTTTCAGAACACTGTGCTGCTTATTCCCAATTCTGTAGTCAGGGATGTGGGAAGTAAGGCCCTTAGGCCAAATCCAACCTGCTACCTGTTTTTGTATGGTCCTTGATCTAAGAATAGTTTTTACATTTTTAAATGGTTGAAATCTAGAGATTTATGAGACATATGGAACTCAATTTCAGTGTCCATAAAGCTTTACTGGGACACAGCCACTGCTCATTCATGTACATAACTGTCTGTGGCTGCTTGTGTACTATAAGGGCCGAAGCAGAGTTGACTGGTAACAGACCATACGGCTCCCAAAGCCTTAAATACTGTCTGGCCCTTGACAGACAAAATTTGCAAGCTCAAGCAATGATTTTTCATTGTTGTCACTTGTAGAATGCAGTGTCCTGGGCTATTCTGGTGTCATTCTGCTATCCTCAGCATGGACCTCTCGTCACTTGT